ACAATAAAAACATAATTTTGAAACTGATCATTAACTCATCGTTATATCGTTTAAATGTTTAAAGATTTGTAAAAAATTTCGGCCTCAACAAAGACGCATTTAAAAGCGTTTTAACAATTATGGAGGAAGAGCTTGGGCGAAGTGTAAAATCATCATCGGTGACTCCTGCAATTAGATTGATGGCAGTTTTGAGGTTTTTCGCTGAAGGAAGCTACCAACACGGTGTTGGGAAAGATTTTGATGTGGGGTTGGCGCAATCAACGTTCTCAAAAACATTGACAAGAACTTTAAACATCTTGGAACGCCGACTGTGCCCAGTATGGATTAAACTGTCAATGACGGAGGAGGAGAATAAACGAGCCAAAATGTGGTTTTACAGGAGAACGCAATTCCCTGGCGTTATTATGTGTGTGGACGGCACGCACATTAAAATACTTCCTCCTGCAGACGAACCGTATTTGTACTACAATCGTAAGGGATACTACAGCCTAAATGCAATGGTGGTAAGTAAAACCACAAGAGCAAAGTGATTTTGTACGTGCAATTTATCGTAAATTTATTAAATAGATTTGCGATAACAAGATGCAAATAAGGTACGTTGATGCTCGGTTTCCAGGCAGTAGCCACGACTCACATGTGTGGAATGTAAGCGCTGCAAAAACCTATTTTGAAGAGAGATATCGGCAAGGAGACAAAACAACTTGGATATTAGGTATGTTATAAGTGGAATGAGAGCAAAATGTGTTAAATATAACTAAAAATATTTTGTTTAACAGGCGATGCTGGATATCCCTTACAGCCGTGGTTAATTACACCATTCCGTTCTCCTGTGGCAGGAAGTAGAGAAAGCGCCTTCAACAAAACGCACAGTAAAGCGCGCAACATAGTCGAGAGAGTCATCGGCGTTTTGAAAAATAGATTTCGATGCCTGCTAAGAGCTCGCCAACTACATTATTCGCCCCAAAAAGTGGTACAAATAATTCATGTGGTATGCGCATTGCACAACATGTGCATCCACTACAACGTGGAAGATAATACACCTGATATTATGGATGATGAATATCAAGATGTAAATGAAGAGGAAGCGCCATCAGAATTTTCCAGAGAAGCGTCAGACATAAGAATGCGAATTTTGAGATTATTACCTAACTAATGAAAACAATCCCATAACTTTGTACTTCATATTTATTTAATATAAAAAATTTAAAATAAATTCAGTTCTTTACTTAAAACTAAATATACAAAAAATCAGTTGTTTTCTTAAATCTAATAGTTTGTACATATATACAGTTATCACAAGCGTTAGTTCATCTCTTAAGTTCAGTTCTTTTCTTAAATCTAATAGGTTTATACATATATCACAAGCGTTAGTTCAGTTCTTTTCTTAAATCTAATAGTTTATACATATATACAGATATCACAAACGTTAGTTCACTTCTTTAGTTCAGTTATATTCTTAAATCTAATAGTCTTAAATCCAATAATCTTTAAATAAAAAAAAAGTAAAAAAATCAGCACTTCAGTGCAAAATTAAATTAAATTCAAAAATAAAGAAATCTTAAAAAATGTATCCATTAGTTCATTTTTGCTGGCTTCTTTCTTGTATCCGCAGTAATTTTTCCTGCAAATCAAGCTCCCTTCTTTTAAGGGCCTCCATTTCAATATTGTGCCTCTTTAATTCACGCAATTTTTCCTTCTTCATGTCATGCATGTTTTCTTGTACTTGGTACATGCGTCGCACGTTATCTGCCAGCTCGTTTGCAGACTCAGCCTGGCGTTCCAAAAAGGCCAAACTTTTTTGGTAGTAGCTTCGTTGCAAATTTATTTGCTCCTGTACCAAAGTGGCCGTGTCGTTTTTTTTACCGGAGGGGAACGCCTCTGCACATTGGCATTGTCTGGCTCAGTTGGCATAGGAATGACTGCCGCAGGTTCCACCACCGGTTGGGTAACCGTCTGTGTTGTTACCACACCAAAAGAGACAGCTCCATTGATCCCCGATGTGGAAGTGTGCAAGCCCGTCAACTCTATCACTTTTTCCTCCAACTCATTGAAATTGTGCATTCTGTTGGGTCCACCACCAGTTGCCCTCGTCTCTGCTTTATTGGCGGAAAGCTTTCTTTTAATGTAGCACTTATAATCG